CTCTAGTTGATAATATTGATGACATGGATGGTAAGGAGACTTTTTGCTCCCACAATGATTATTTTTGAATTTACAGTTGATGATTCTTATTTGTTGAAGTCTATTCGGTGTTTGTGCATTCTTTTGATACATTCCAAGTCTAAATCTACTGATGGCAACATACCTTACATTTTGCGTAGTGTGCCAGTAAGTATAGAAATACATGTGTACCACTTACCCACTTCTATTATTACAGGTTGGTACAGATCCGTCAGCAGCACCAGATAAATCTAACAATTGTCCACATATTGTAATTTTTGAAGGAGATGAGTTAGACCAGTACTTTATTGCTATTGAGCAGTGCCTAATCTTAGAGTGTAAAGATATCCCAACAGCGCTCTTTCTATTAATAGCAAGTCACTATGTATTCAACATCAGTTATCAACCAAAAGCTCAGGATTTTTTCGCTTTCATTGAATCTAAATTGTTGAATATCTCATCCAGTACATATAAAAGCAAATCTCCTGTGGCACTTTCTCACATTAATGGCATCACCAGGGAACATGAAGTACTTAATGGATAATTGTTTTTGTTTTTTTTTGCATCAAGGAAAAGTTGTATTTAATCATTATAATCATTTGGACATTGTTTTGTAAATAATACAAATCAAATTTGTCATTTAAAAAGAAATTTTGTTAAATTAGCAAAAGAGTAGTTTGTCAATGGAGTTTCATAGTGTTTACAAATTGGTTCTGTCAAATTGACTAAGTGATATTTACAGTGTGGTAATCTGTCTTGTGGATGATGAACTGCTTACTGGAAGTACCAACAGACAGCATGATTTCTGATTGATGAGACGATGAAAATAAATCAAAACAGCTAAAGTTACTCTCAGATAAAATTTCGTCATTAGGTCACGCCATTGATGGGAAGTGGATTTTTGCTGACCCTAAGAAGAATTCTATTACGAAGATTGAACCGCCAACCAGTATCACTCAATTACAATGGGAAAGGTTAGCTACTTGGGGAAATTCTATGCAAAACTTTAGATCTCACACACCCCTTGAGGTTATTTCTTAGTACTAATAACCGCTGGTCATGGAGTATAGCTCATTAACAAGCATTTTTTGCGGTAAAGGAAAAGGAAGTGTCTAGGGCTCCAGTAACCGGAGTCAGCATGCAGAGCTAGAGCTCTGGTAATAGGGGCTTTGCCCGTATATATATGGGGCTACGCCCAAGTATTATTACTCCACTGATTTATTATGGTAACAAGGTATTGATACAACACAACCAGCATTATTGATGCAGCAGGGTTGTGGTCGTGCTGGAGAGAGGCTGGTGTGGATTGCACTGATGAGGTCAGCAGTTTGAATCCGGTCAAAAAAACTATGCTGCAGTTTTTGATTTTTTTCTTTTTTAAAAAAATCTTTTTTTCCTATTTTTTTCCTTTTTGGCTTTTTTTTAGGAAATAAGCACCTTGTACATCTTAGCCTCCTGGGTCGTAGCGTTGGGATTAGGGTTTAGTGTTTCATTGTTAGAGCATAGGTCAAAAAATAACACCCTCTCATACATCTTAGCCTACAGGGTTGTAGGTTTGGGATTCAGTGTTTAGTTTTTAGAGCACCATCTTGTATATCTTAGCCTCTAGGATAGTAGGGTTTAGTGTTTCTTGATACAAAGACTAAGTTCCAATTTGCACTATTGCACATGCGCACAAGCTGTTTTACGGACAAAAACGGACTGCCGGAGCTCTAGCAATTGCAAACTATATCTGGTTACCGGAGCTGTAGCTACAGCCTAAAGGAAAAGCTACTTATGCATACAACTTTATCACATTACAATTTATAAGCTAAACGGGCTCAGAGCTCCACCCCTTGTCTCAAGAGAGGACATGCCAAGATAGCCATCTCTAAAAATAAAAGTAATTAGGCACATGAATATGTATAAAAGCATTGTGTATATGTACATTGTGCATAAGATCCTCTGAGAATTCCCCAACCAAGCCAAAGACATTAATCAAGTTCTACACCTCAGAACTCTTTAGAGCAACTAAATTACATTCATACTAAATTGTGTATTAAAATGAAGTTCTACACATCTGAATTACATTCTTACAAGAATGTGAAATTATTTTAACAATTCTTTTCTGTTTCATCGGACAAAACTTAACACTAAATGTTTCTACTCGACTTTTGAAACTTAGAACTTTTTGAGTTAATGAAGTCACATTACTGCTTAGAAATGTAATCAAGCTCTTCAAGTCAGAACTGTTTGCATAATCAGAAATAAATCCATACAATACTGTAAAATAACTTTATTAACGTTCTGTGGTACTTTTTCAGCATTCATGCACACTTCTAAAATCTAAATCTGCACTTAAAAACTCTGTAAATCAACTAGTCTACAATCATACAGTAATTTTAAAATATTTTGCAATTTTTTTGCAGTTCTATTAAACAGAACTCAACTGGAAAATGTCTACAATTTATGCACAATATTGTAATGAAGTTTACACTTTGGATGCACTAAAATTACATTTGTATATACTATTATTGTGAAATTAATTTTGAATTTTTTGTAATCAGCTCAGAACTCTATCCCATTCATGCCTATTGAAGTTTAGTTCTACACATCAAAACTGTTTGATTACAGTAAATCCTTAAACAGAAGCCGCATTCAAATAAACGCTGGGGTAGCAATACAATTAAACTATACACACGCAACACTAGCCTAAGAGGGACTCAGAAGTCTAGTGGATAAGGCCTGAAGTTCTAGAAGTCAAAAGCATGAGGTTACGAGTTTGAATCCCGCTCTGGGCTGAAGATTTTTTTATATTTTTTTGAGATCCAAATGCCATTTTAGGAAATGGATGCCCGGGCTTTTGTTTAAGGAACTACGGTACATTTATGCACTGTTGGAAAATAATTATTATAACGTTCCTTCAAGTTCGATATGATAGAACTTAATGCTACAGTTTTGTTATCAACTTCTGCAATTCAGTAGTCATTTGAGCTAATTAATTCAAAATAATGTGTACAACATTAATGAAGTTCTACAGTTAAGAAATCATTGCATCCACTGAATTACATTTACACAACATTGTGACATTTGTAATGTTCTGTTGCAGTTCGACAAATCAGAACCCAACTCAATGTTTGTTATCAAGTGCTAGGACTTACTACTCTTTTGAATGTAGTAATTAAGTGTTACACCTCAGAACTTAACGCAATATTTAATTTGTGCATTAGTTTTGCAGACTTCAAAATGTTTTATGCATTGAAATATACTTGATATAATGTACAAACACCTTTGTAATCACTGACCCACACACCAAGGAATGCTATGAAGTCAATGTGAGCTGTTCACTAGATAAAGATTATTTGTGGTATAGAAGATAACAGAATTGTG